TAAACAGACACAAACACCTATACCCCCTTTTAAAATCAGAAACTCTTGAGTGACATCAGAAAACTCTTGCTTTGAGTTAGCGATAATCATGCCTCCGATAAACCTCATTGTCTATTATACTGCTAACTGCACAAAACTGGAAAACCTTTGGTTTCAATTCCATCATGAGATATTGATCAGATTGCTTGATCTTTCCAAACCTGTTTCCTCATCTTTGGAACAGAGATAATTATACTAGCAGTCCACGGTTTAAGTAAAATAATGTACATATAGTTTCACAAAATGCTTATCACATGGTTGGCATTTAAAGAACTATTATCATGCATTTCAACAACTCTCCTCTTTTTCAAAGTTCAGTTTAGGCATTATTTTATCTTATTGAGCTAATAAAATGTGTACATAATAAATTTGACTTTTGTACATTCATATTTACTATCGTTTTCCTTCTGATTTTCTTATCATGGCATATGGCAGTAGAAGAGATGTGAAGAATGTACAAAACTTCCTTCAAGTTTTGTTTCAGAGTATTTCTCATAATTGCTCTGAAGATGTAGAGAAATGCCAAGAAGTAAGGAGAGTGAAGAGGAAGCAATATTTTTACAAAAAGTTTGATTTATCCATCTAAATAATGCATAAATGTTAAAAATCTTTGCCTTAAAAATGTTGGAATAAAAACATTAGAAGAAACAAGTAGAAGTTTACCTGAAAAGAAGGCATTTTTATGTGACAAATAGGAGCTTGTACATGATAAGCCCATTCATAAGGCAGTATTTACTGAATGCGTATTACAGACTGGGCACACTGCTAAAATACTTTACATTCACAACAACAGGAAAAATTGTTTCCATTTTACATTTTGAATTGGGTTGAAGGCTGCACATACTCATGGAATTGAGGTAAAAGTTGAAAAAATAAAAGACTGTCACTTTTACCAATGGACAAGACATAGAAGCCGCTGACAGATCATTTAAAGCAATGCTTGTCGATGATGCTCAGGCTGCCCTTCGCATTGAGGTTAAGAATCAGCATTTCAGAGGCCAGTGGTGTTTTGTGCGACACAGAAAGATCCTTCACCCCACTGAAGGTCATGCTCAAAAATAGCTGTAACACAGAGGAAATGGTTATTGGGATCCTGTCATCTTTGCCCTAAGAAAAAATGTCTTTGAGATACACTTGACACCTTTCTGAAGTCCTGAATTGCCATCCAGAGGATCTCAGTTAGCCCTGAGATCTTGTGGGCAGAATCCATCTAGCTGGTGATGGCTCAAGGGCTACATGTAACTGTTTTTCCTTTGACACAATGGAGTGTCCTTGCTCTGAACAATAGGTAACTGACCCACCTGGTCAGCTTAATGGAGCCAGTGTAGGCTGGCTCCCATAAATCCTCCTCAGAGATACATTTAGTTCACTGCATGCAGTTTTTCTGTTCTGGGACCATCAGATTTTAGTTTCTTTAACTCATTTACATGAGGATTATTATGGCACTGTCCTCGTCAAGCTACTGAGAAGTATTCTGTGTCATTCGAAGATGCTAGCTAGGTTATTTATTTTCCAGCCCTGTTTAGAAATTGTTATGCACCTTAGTGGTCTTTAAAATAATTCTGGATTTTAAAAAATTCCTCTTTAACTTAAGAATTTAATTTCTGGTCATTTTACAAGAAATCCCTGCTTTAAAATTTTTCCCTTCATTGAATATTTTGGGAGAATTTCACCTTTTATTTTAATGTTTGTATTTCCATTTATTCTTAGCACTGATGGAAGAAAGAACAGGAACCCCAAGTGTACTGATACTCGTTTATAGGGGAAAAGGATTTGTACTGTTGTTTCTATGCCTGTTATGACATCACTTATTATCTGCCTTTCTGGTATACTACGCTGTCTTATGCTCCTGTTTGGTTTAGACAATGTTAAGATCATTCACAATAATTTTCATGAAACGATAAATTACCTGAATTCAGAGAAAATGATTTTATACACGTTTTCATTTTGCTCTCAAACTTCAGGCATTTTAAACAGAACTTTAAAACAGTGAGTTGAATATCGAGCTCGTTTTTTTTTTAATTGTTTTTTTTTCGAGTGGTTCATTCATAGATATTAAAGAAATAGACTCTATAAAGCTATGTTTTTCCCAAGGAAAGGTTGATGAGAAGTACAATTTCAGTATTATATTATTTTGAATTAATGTTTAGAAATGTTTGGTGTGTGTCTCTTTGATAGAAGTGATTCAGAGGATACATTCTTGAATCACCCTACCTGAATTCAGAGTTTAACTCTACTTTTTATGAGCTGTAAACCCCTCTCCAGGATGGCAGTAACAACAGTACCTGCTGTTGGGGTTGGTTCTGAAGAATGAATGAGATAATTCATGCAAACCTCTCAGAACAGTGATCATCACGTAGTAGCTTCGTATATGTTAGCTCTTGCTCTTAGAGTGAATTAAGAATGGCTGGGAATATGAAAGGAATAATTAAAAAAAGACACTGCTTGTACCCAATCCAAAATATCTACTTCTCAGGATCTCTGAATTTGTTTAGACATACTGGATTCCTTCCAACTTCTAGATGATGTTGAGGATAGCAGGGGGAGGGAGGTTGATGGGAGGGAAAGGGGGTAATTGCTGTATAGGGCCCATGAAAGCAAGTTTGGTGGTGGGGCTTTGGTTAGCTAGAGAGCGGCATAAAAACTAAGGCAGGAACCTCAGAAAACAACCCAGAGGAAAGTTGGCTGAATATAAAATGAATATGCTAGCGTTTTGCTGAACTATATCAAAATGCAAAAAGAGAAGAATGTTCTCATTTAGCATTTCCTAAGAACCCATTGAGTGCCAGAGAATAAGGGAAAGGATACAAAGATGTGGTCTTTATACTTGAAGAGCTTACAGTCTACTGGGAAACAGACGAGTATGTGAATAAATACAATACAGTGTTAAGGGCCCTTATTTATCAAATGCCATGGGGGTATGGGGATACAGCCAAGGGAGGAACTACCTCTGTGTAGGGGAATCAGGGAAGCTTCACATAAGATGTAAGAAAGTGCCATCTGAAAAAGGAAAGCTCCCCAAACAGCAGGCACTAGGGGCTTGAAGGAGCATCCTAGTTGTGGCTGGAGAATCCTGGAGGATATTTGATAGTCCAGTGGTTTGGGTGAGATTACGATAGCCCATGTTGCCATTTTAGAAATCGAGATTGGCTCTTTGAATAATGGGAATCTTTCCAAGAGTAGTTGCTTCCCTGGAAAAATTCTAATTGCTACAAATACTGAGTATTTGTAGTTGATTTTCTGAGAGAAAAATGTAACAAGGTCATAATTAAGTTGCATTTTATCAGAATTGTATAATAGTAGATTCTGGAAGTACTCCTTCCTCAGAAGTACTCCTTCCTTTCTCCATGCCCAGCAGAGAAAAATAAATGAGTAATAGCTTTTGGTTTCACTTTAAATTTAACCTTGTTATATGCTTTATTTATAAAAATTAGTGTAAGTGGGAAGAAATTCCACCCTTTCACCACTAATTTTATTATTTTCCCCCTAATTGTCTTGGCATACTTTTTTATGAGTGTGCATTTTATTAAGTGTTGAGAATGTTTCTGTAGGTGATCAACTTCTTCATAATAGGAGTTTATGTAGTAAAAGTTACAGTTTTCATCATTGCCTCATGGCATTTTGGAGTTAGAAGAAGTTCTGGAGTTCACCTGGTGCAATTTTTCACCTAATGCAGGATTTTTTTTTATTATGTCCTTTGCAGGAAAAACACAAACAAACAAAACACAAAGCCTCTGCTTGAATATAAGTGGAGTGAAGAGTTTAGAGTTTCTCAAGGCAGATCATTCCATTTCTTCTAATCCTTGGAAATTCTCTAATTCTTAGAAAGGTCTCCCTTATCATCTACTTTCTTAAGAGTTTTATAATCACTAGTGCCATTTCTGCCCTCTGCATATTAAATAAGTATAATTTTGCTCCTATCTGATGACCGTTTATGTATGTCAAGATTGATATGCCTTCTTTTCCTGTCCTTTTAACATTATATTTAAGACTCAAGAAATACCTGTAGCTTCCTCAAAGTGACATTAGTTTTCTGGACCTTCTTACTCTCATCTACAGCTATAGCGACCTGTAAATCATTTAAATGTACATTTTTGCATCAGCTTGTCATTATTTTATTCAAATTTGGGAAAAGCAGAGAGATGGACATTTATTTTTACTGAAATGTTAAATTGTCCACTTAAAATGAATGGGGTTGGGAGATTAGTACATCAGCGCCAGAATCTACCCGCTGTTAAACAAGCATGCACACTCCAGAAGAACTTAGTTACATGGCCTCACGGCTTAATTGAGTTAGGGTTGCAATCACGTTTTTTTCCTAAATTCTAAATTTAACTTCATATCAGGCAAACATTTAAAAAAGCATTATCTAAACATATTTAGCCACCACAATTAGTTATAACCTAGCCTTATTTTTAGTGAATGCTCAATAACTGTGGGTTTAGGTTTGGAGTTTGCAGTTTTCCTCTGCTTTCGCCCATAGGGACAAATCGTGCTGACATTTTCTCACACTTTTTTTCCACAACTAAGCAAGATGCTAACAAAATTGAAATTTCCATCTCCCCCACTATGCCTTGGCTGAAAATTTAGGTCATCCAGGACAGCGTGTGAATTATTTTAGGGCACCGTTTACTGTATACAGCACTTGCCTGACCTAGACACCGGAGTCTGAGTCAAGACATCTTTTTTCATTGTGTGTATTCTGGATGACTGATGTTGCACAGACAGGAGGTTAGGGTTTAGGCCCGGGGAATCATCTGAGTAAGCGTAATGGAAAATTGCTTTTAAAGAGTCAGGTAACAAAAGGTGTAAGCAACTTCTGATTTGCAATGCTTTATTTCTTTTGAATGTCATTTCTTTCTTTCCCGAAATACAGGATGAGGCATGACACGACCAAATCACAGACTCATTGTTGGGTATTTTCTGTGTAACATACGCTTTGTTTTTGTTTTTCTCCAAAGGCGTTTAAACAGAAATCACCTTCAGCTGTTTCCTGAGTTGCTGTTTCTTGGGACTTCGAAGCTGTACAGGCTGTAAGTAAGACAGAAATAGTTATTGTTGCTTTGTGTAGTACCTTGTATTTTATTAAATGTATTTTGGATCTGTTTCCTTGGGCTTTCCTGGAATCTATTCACCGATAGATTAATGGATTAAAAGTTTGCCTTTTTTTTGTCTTATGGAAATTTATGATTGGTTTTCCAGTGGTTCCCGTTGTTTTATTTGGTTAGCATTTAGTGGTTTATGTATGCGTCGTTGTAATTGTATTATTCTTTCTGGGTTATGTGATAATGAGGAGATTTACCTTATTTCTTCATGGAAACTTCTGATTAAGTTCTGAAGGGGAAAATTGCCACTGTACTTCCTCTTCAGAGGAAGTGTGGCGGTGTTTTCTTGTAAAGTTAGGGTTCTTAATGTCAGCTTTCTTGACATTGTTTCTGTACTGGGGTGGTGTTTATTAGTCTGGAAATATTATTATAAGGTATTTAAAGAGGGCTGTAAATTTCCTCTTAAATGTTCCCTTTAAAGCCAGAGTTCCAAACTCTGCAATAGGAGTGACTGTAAAGGTTTCCCAACAAATACTTCCTAGACTGTTAACGGAAATACTTCTTTGGAAGGAGCATAACATGAGTTTTAGGCAAAATTAGTTTTTCCTCCCTGGAATGCTTGTTCTCTGACCTAATATGTAATAGTGGAAACACATTTTCAAAAGCTTTTAAAATGAGATTTTCCACCATATGAATGATTTTGTGCAGATGGGAGATAAGCTACAAAGTGTTGGAAAAATAAATAACAATGATTATTGACGTTCATGGACGTTGTGACAAAACTGTTGGGATATACAGAATAAAGTGCTCAGCATGGCTCCCACCGGGATGATGGGGATGTCCTGTAGCTTCGTGTTTGTAGGGAAAGTGAGCATGTTGCTTTTTTCCGAATTTGGCTTCATCATAGCCTGTTAGTTCAATATTGTTGTTATCAGTTCCAGAAGGAGGAGGACTGTCTTCTCAGCCCTCCCTGCCTTGTGGCCAGGATCTTTGTTAGGTCCTCCTGATGCCTTAGCTCACTATAGACAGAACTGTCCCAGTGGGCAAATGTGCAGCCAGCTAACACACGCCGTCTCCTCTCTAGAGTTTGACCTTCTTGGTATTGTTCCTCTAAGGACAGCCAAAGTCACCTGGCAGGATTTCTCCTTCTTGCGCTCCCTGCTGGTTAACTGGCTCAATTTAAGTAAATTAAAAAAAAAAAAAAAAAAAAAATCAAAGAAGAAACCTGAAGATTGACTTTAAGTAAGAATTCCGTAAGGACTATTTTGACCAAGGAAATAGGATCTAGGCTATTATAAAGATTATATATATGTATGTAAGTTGACACTTATATTTAAATATTTCTGCCTAGTTTCCAAGAAGGGCCACCGAGATGGTTTTAAGAGTCATTATACTTTGTGCTTTAAGTTTTTGTGATTGAGGAGACTGAAGCCTAGTGTACAATGAGGCATATGAAACTACCACTTTGCTGAGTGTCCATAGAAAAGCAATCCACACCAGTCTAGGTAATTTTACATTTTCTATGTAGCTATGAAAATATAACTTAAATGAATGACTGTCATCTACAATTAAAAGTATTAAGCTAAAGAAGGGAAAATTCTACACTGTCTCTGAGGAACAAGAATATGTGGTTTTTAGTCTAGAAGTACTTGGATTAATTTTCTTTTTTTTTTTTTAAAGATTTTTATTTATTTATTTGAGAGAGAGAGAGAGCACATGAGAGGGGGGAGGGTCGGGAGGGTCAGAAGGAGAAGCAGACTCCCTGCCGAGCAGGGAGCCCGATGCGGGACTCGATCCAGGGACTCCAGGATCATGACCTGAGCCGAAGGCAGTCGCTTAACCAACTGAGCCACCCAGGCGCCCTTGGATTAATTTTCTTAGGAGGCTTCAGGTGGTGTAATCCAGTGCAGAATTCTCTTATCAGCAAATTATATTCTGTTGATCATTTTTTCCTCTTGGACAATATCACATAGTGGACCAACAGATTTCGTCTTTTATGTTGTTGTGATTTTGTAACTTTAGGAAGCCACTGTGTGAAGAGAGAACTGACATCTTCAAGAAGTAAATTATAGAAATAGAACCCATAAAACTCTCAGGCAGTATTTTCTAGTTAATTAAAAGCATGTAAAAAAATGGGACAATGGGCAGCTAGAAAATGCATTCAGAGTTATGATTTACCTGTTTGGCTCAAATGATTTCCTCTGGGTAGTTTTGGAAGATAAAGTTTTATTTCTTAGGGTTAGTGGCAAGAGGGACTCGAATGCTTTGATGTTCCCAAAGTTACAGACTGATGGCTTAATGTTTAATATTGACTGGGAATTAACACCTGACATAAGCACTAAATACATGTGAAACATAGTGGTGTAATTTTTTTCTGCATCCTCACGTCAGGAATCTTCTTTTGAGTTGAGGCACTGTTGTCCCACCTGAATTAGATTTAGTGAATTGTTACCAATGATACTTCTCTTGAGAGGATAAGTTATAAACTACATGTGACCACTTTTTTATGATTAATTGGATTAATTAATTGGATTAAAAAAACACCATTAAATGTGTTTAATAAATAAAGGAACAAAAGCTTGTGAGCCTAATTGCCTGGCCAGTGTAATTTCTAAGAGGAAGGATTCAAGTTCAGATTTTTCTTCATGTGATATAGGTGCCTAGTAGTTCACCCGAAACAAATGTTCTAACAGATGGAAAAATGTGCATAAATCTACAAACAAAAATGTCCTCTAAAACGTTCATTGAAAAATGAATCTTTCTGGGATGGCTGGGTGGCTCAGTCAGTTAAGCGGCTGCCTTCGGCTTGGGTCATGACTTGGGTCCTGGGATCAAGTCCCGCATCAGGCTTCTTGCTCAGTGGGGAGTCTGCTTCTCCCTCTGCCTGCCACTCCCCCTGCTTGTGCTTTCTCTCTCTCTGACAAATAAATAAATAAAATCTTTAAAAAAAATTTAAAAAAGGAAAAATGATTCTTTCTTTCACAAGAAGGATAAGTGACAGAACAAAGGACTTCTGATAAATAATAAAGAAAATATGTCGGGGCAGGGAAGGTATTTGGCTGGTTGTTGCATATACAAATTAAGCAATCCATAATTGCCCTGCTAGATAATTTAGTAGAGACAGATACATCTAGAATTTGTGAAAGAAACAAATTTATAATTTATTTTCTCTTTATCAGTTGTTGCATAATTCTCATTAGTATCTCTGTTTCTTTTTCTAACTTACTGTACCAGTTAATATTTTAACCTTATTTAATACTTGTTATCCTAGTATATAACTAGTGAAGAAGTTTACTAGATTATTTAATGGGTAGCTCATACTATACTGATGTCTGATTTTTATCATTATTTACTTAGATTAAAACTAGTCCGATGTACTGGACATTATGCAGATTTTCTTTGCACTTTTTAACAAATAATCACCATTTGACTCCTGGCTGAAAATGAGATGCCGGGTGAAGAAGCACACATGCTTTTTTTGGACTCTAAATGCAATATAAAAGAAAAAGAGGGTACGCTGTATATGAATTATGATTTGACACGGTTGATTGCTGCTAGAGGCCAAATATGCTTTTCCTTTGCTGTCTGCTCCAATTTCTCTTTGGACGGGTTGAGAAAGCACTACATGTTCAGGTCAAGATGTTTGCTCAGAAATAGTAGTACAGTTGCAGCTGTGTTTGTTGGAGCAGGAGACTAGTTTAAATAGCATTACCATTTATCCAGTCCATTAACAGAACTCTGTAAAATAATACCAACTCTGCATAAACTACAGGACAGTGTAATAAAATTACAAGCACTTGTTGACAGATGGAAAGTGTAAGTAAAGGGAAAGTAAAGGGCTATAGGTTGGAGGTTAAAAGAGACAGCACACAGTTTCCTTAACTTACGTAGAAACGCCATTCTCCCTTTTACTCCTCCTCCAAAACCGGCATTGCATTTTTATTATCAATTTAAGAGTGGAGAAGATTATTTTTGGAACAATCTGGAGCTGGTTAACTGTCTGAGATTTTAGTGACTTTTGAAATGGGCAATCGTGATTGATTGAAATTTATGAGTGGCAATTATATATATAAGTAGCATAAACAAATCTTCCCGATAAATGTAACCTTAAAGTGATTTACCAGTGAGTGATTCACACTTTTTTAACTTGAGTTTGCAGCTACCAATCCAGGCTCGTTAGAGAGGAATTTCATTGGTACTACTGCGGTCGAACATTTGGTTATAAATATTTGTTTTGTGGTTTTCAGTTTATTTATTTGAGTATCATTATATTTACCCAGACTTCTAACATAAGTTTAAGTATCCAAGGCGTATTGCGGAAACTCATTTTTCACTTGTATCTACTGAAACAAAACAAGACTAACAAATGAAATTAAATGCATGAGTCCCAGTGATCCATTTTCTCTACTTCTTTGAATGAAACCTTTTTATTTCTGGTTCACAAGTGGCATTTATTATTCCCCAGTGAGCTTTGGAACCTCTAAATTATCTAACATTATAAATAGTATTTTTAAACTCAGGGACTCTTTTTAGGGCCTAGTGACTACTTACCTGAGACAAATAGATTTTGACCACTTAATTTGATTGGTCAGGTCACAGTCGTTGTCAGATAAGATCTCAGATGCTCAAAATTGTTTCTGATAATAATAATCGTGCCTTTTTTTTTAGAAGAAAACAAATTTTTGTTTTATTATGGTAAAAATGCATTTGTGAAGTAGAACAAATACACAGTGAGGCTGTCTTTATTTGCCTTTCGTCTCGTCCCATAGAAGGAGCTTTAGTGTTTATTTTTGGTTTTTAATAGTTATGAGAGTAACGTATCCTCATATTAAAAAGGTTTGGATTCAGAAAAATAGAAAAGAGGAAGCGGAAATTATTCATTATCCCGCCATCCAGACATAACCACTAGTAAACTTGTCGGTTATTATTAACCTAGTTTTCTTTTTCTATGATTATGCGTGTAAATGCTGACATACATTTATTATGAA